TACCTTTATATATCAAAAGAAGTGAAGGCAAACATAACACACATAAGTGAACATAATTAAACCTTTATATATATTTTATGTTTATTTTTCTCTTTGGATGATCATAACTACTCTAAAAAATATGTCGATAAGAGGATCTATTATTGCTTTAGTATACTATAATGGCCAGATGATCGGTGATGCATATTTCTGTGACATCTTTTAGTCCTCAAACACTATTACGATAACACTCCCGAGGAATTTAACGTATAAGAAGTTGATAAAGGAAACCAAGAACAATGTTCCACATGCTCGCTGAAAGAACTCAAACCATTGAAGTATCGACTACCGATATCATTGGAACCATTAACCTACTCAATATACATCGTTGAGGATAATGGTGATGTGGACATGATGCTCAATTCCCACTTGCAATATTCATTATAAGGACCCCTTTAGCTATATACAATTTTTTATGATATTGATCCTACCAGTGTCCCAAATTGGAGATTGACAAATTTTGACTTTGATCCTAATGTTCAGAGTCTGACTTCCAATTTACGTAACGACTTCAACATATTAAGTACACACAGTAAACATAATGAATTAGGTGCATCATCGTCTTCGATGCCCAAGCATTCTTACGTAGCTAGCTTTGACTTTAAATTGAATCTTCCACCAATGTAACATTCAACGTACCATCCATACAATATTTGTGTCGTAGTGTAATCTTCTCAACACGACATGAGGTCCCAAGATCCTTAAGTGTTTTAACCCATTCGATGATTTCTCATCTTGATGATATTCAACGTATATCCATAGTGTGGATTATGTGTCAACATCTATGAGGAGACATTCTTGTGTTGGTATTGTTAACTTTGATCTTGGTAATACATTTCGTGAGCGGTCTTGTGATTGACACACAACTACTAAATTTGTTATCCCACATTCGACGATCCATAACTACTTCGATTTGAGGGGGATAATTTTGACGAAGAACTATAAGAGAGATTGACCCCGATGGTGACAAGGTTGGCCCCTTCAATGAAGAACAAAAAGATCTTGATATGCTAGTAGGAGTAGATGATGATGAAATTCCATGCTGCCACTCCTATTTCTTATTACCAGCCACTATCCATTTCACAATGGTTGATATGGAAGCTTTTAATGCTTCAAAATTTTGATAATTCCCATAGATTGAGCAATTCAATCAACGTGGTGATGTTGAGTTCTATATTTGAATGACGTTTAAGACAAAAGAACTCATTGTGGCTATCATTAACAATTATAATATACACCACATAATTATGTCGACTATGAAAAAAATAGACATAGATAAGTACATTGTTGAATGTGTCCATAAGAATCAAGGATGTAATTGGAGGGTTCCTGTGTCATGCTTGAAGATGATGAAGAACCTATAGAGCTGACAAAATACGTCCAACCTCATACGTGCACCATTAGCGGCCTAAGTCAGGATCATCGTAACTTGGATGTGCACGTGCTTTATGATGCCTTCATTCTACTGGTCAAAGCAAATCCACATTTATCAGTTGATACTTGTATTGCTGTAATTACATCCCAATACGATTACATAGTTGACTACTATAAAGCATGGTATACAAGGTATAAAACTCAACAAAAGTTGTATAACCAATTAGATGAATCGTTCAAAGAGTTACGTTCATGGTTAAAATTGATGCAAAAACACATAAAAAGGACAATTGTGAAATTGGAAACTGTATCGACGTATGAAAATAACCGTGTCGTATAAGGTATGCCAATTTTAATGGATATTTTAGACATTTCCGTAGTGCATTAATGCATTTCGCCACTATAAGCTAATGGTTCAGATCGACGACACTTGATTGTATGACAAATACACACAAATACTATTATTGATGGTTGCACAAGACAATAATAGGAAAACTATTCCCATCTCCTTTGTAATCGTCGAAAATGAGGGTATAGACTCTTGAAAATTCTTCCTTAAGAACTTACGAAGACATGTTCTATCACATGTTTTGCATGATAAAAATGATGAGATATGCCTTATTTCTGACAGAGGCACAAAGATCAAATACACAATCTAACGTTTGTCAGTCTTGGCAACCTCTATATTTATAACCAATACTATTTATGCCACATTGTTGTGAATTATTTGCAAAAGTTCAAGACTAAAGATGAACTCGTCATGGTGCTTCGAATGAGTACGTCTTTAACTATTTTGAGTTTAAGATATATTTTTATTTATTATTTCTAATTAACTGTTGCATTTTTAATGGACAGGTCACACACATTCCATACGTGAGGTTAAGGAGTTGTTTAAAGAATTAAGAGACAAAAATCAACAAGGCTATAATTACCTTGTTAAAATCCCGATGGTGAAATGGATTCGATCATTTGATAGGGGTAGACAATATGGTCACATGACAACGAACTTGGCCAAGGCGATCAATTCATCGTTGAAGGGAGTGTGACATTTTCCTATCACTTCCATTTTTAAAGTGACATATTACCGGTTGGCAACCATGTTTGCAACATTGGGAAAACAAGTAGTTGACTAAATGGCAAATGGCTACATGGTCCATCAAAATCTCCTCACAAAATTCCAAACATTTATGCATCATTCAAAGGTGATGAATGCTACATGCGTCTCTCACGAACAAAATAAATTACGTGTTTCAGAATATTTGAGGCCATTGGAAGGCATACAACACAACGCATATGTGGTTAATCTACGAGAAAGAACATGCGACTCCGGAGTATTCCAAACATTCTAATACTCGTATGCGCACGTTGCTACTTGTTCTTATGTACGGATTCACTACATGCAATTCGTTAATCCGATATACTTGAAATTATATTCAAGATTTATCAATACGAGTTTCCTCCTATTGGAAATGAATGAGAACTGAATGAAGTTGACGATGAACCTATAATACGACTAGATTTTGCACTACGACGCGTAAAAATGGGTCATCTACGATCCATGCGGATTTAATGTGACAAGGATTTGGTCGCACATCAAGAAAGAATCGTACACTTGAAACTATGCACTATTTGTAGGAATCTTAGACACATGAAGAATAAATGTCCTAATTGATCACGCCCTCGTATCAATTAATTGGGCTTTTTTATTGTATTATTTTTGTAATTAACAAAATATATTCGTTAGTTTTCATTTTCTTTTGGTTTTAAACCATTTTCAAAGCGATTTTTACACTGCTTACAATGTCTCGTATGTGGTGATACTAGCCTCAATAGAAACCAATTCTACGCCTTTAATCTTATAAATTACAAAAAAAAAATCATATTAACAACCCAAAAATGCCCTTAGAATATGCCTAACAAATCATTTTACCTTTTTCTTTATGCACAAAACCAAGCTTTAGAACCATTTTCAATGTGATTTTTACTGCGCTTACAATTCTCGTATGTGTCGATATTGACTTTAACTGAAAGATTAGTTCCAATTCTACGATTGTAATATTATAAATTAAGAAAATTTTCAAAAATGCCTATAAATGTGGACTGAAAATGCATATACCTCGTAATAAATTCAATTTCTCGTGGACCTCACACTTTGCATACCGTGATGTTCTTTATCCTAATATCAAATTTGGTTATCTGAAAAGTGCTTACACGTCAGACGGGTCTCGAGTCCTATAAAACATGAGGTCTTTATATATGTTTTGCAGAACACGAGGTTGTCCTACGTGGACAGTTTGATGATATTTTTTCAAATAATTATTAATGAGATTATTTTTCTAATAAATGGATTTTAGGGTTTTGCTTAATAAAATTGCCTTCTAGTGGACTTCGTGGACTTCGTCGGTTTTTTTGATTGATGATGTTTTAGATAGATAGACCTTACTAATCCTGGCATAGTGCATCTTAATAATCTAAATATTTTAGTTTGTTGACCTAATTGTGTATTATGTGTACGATATCTGACTAAGTCTTTAGATCATGTTGGATTTTTTCCTCACTCTTATTTTTATCTTTCTTTTCACATAACTCGAATTATTAAAAATTAATTTGAGTCCCTTATTTTCATCATCTATTTAACTAATTATTCCCTGTATAAATAAATGTATCTCATAAAAAGAATCACTTTTGACACTACAAATTTTGGACCTTATAATTACGGCTCTTCATTTAAGATTAAATAACTACTGCCACGAGGCTATGACAATGTATGGCAAGTGGCAGGCCATGTGCTCCACCGATATGAAACGATCCGTAATCTTTTAGTAATTCAATACAAATTTATATTTAACAGTAACGTAATACATATTCAACACTATTATATTTTTTCTAACACCGATTAATTTTAAATTTCTCAAGTAATACAACGTTGAAATGGATTCATGATTGAAGTGAGTACTATTCTCATTTAAATTTTGATTTTAAATAATGGCGGTCCCTTGTTTCCATATGTAATGGGGTAAGGGGGATGTAAGATAATAGGCTGCCCCCAACACCAGGTTGAGGGCAGCTTCCGTAGAAGACCTCCGAATTATGAAATACGCTCCGTGGGACTCGATCCCACGACCTCAAAGTTAAGAACCTTGTGCTTTACCAATTGAACTGGATAGTCATCTCTTTTGATTTTAAATAATAATATTTATAATTTTTTTTATATATTTTTAATAATTAAAAGAACCATACAAATTTATTTTCATATAATCATTTTAAATTATTAAAAACAAATCACTCTATTTTTTTAATTTTTTTTTAAGACGGACAATGATAATGACAATACAAAACTAATTTCACAAACAAATTTATTTTATTTGATTTATAGATAATATAAACTTACATATAAATTCAATTTATATTTATTTATGATACCATTGAGTCCGAACATTATTTTATCAAACTTCTATCTAACGATTAACTGGAATAATATTATTTTCCGAACTTTAGATCCTCAAATTACCATAATTATTATTTAATTCAAAATTTCACATTACATGATAAAACGGCAGCGGATCTATAGGAAAACATGGTCACGCACCAACCCTCCACTAGCAAATAATAACCACCATTAATATCATAATCATAATCAACATCATTATTATGGTAATTAAATACAAAAGCTCATCACACGCTAGAGATAGACTTCCGAAGACGGCGACCATCGGGATATTCCGAGGGACAGTTGTTCCTGACAGCGGTGAGGTCGTAAGGCGGGGCATCGAGCGCTAACCACTGCTCCACGGTGAACTGCACCTGGCTACACGGTGTATGGACGCCGGTCATGGTGACTTCCACGTAGTTACAGTACCATCCGTGGTGTGGACCCGAACCGTCGGAGGTCAAGTTCATGCCACAAACAGGGCCATCCAAGCACCGTCCCCTACCAGAGAAAATGTCCAAATTACCCCTCTCGAAATAGTTGTAATCTGGCCCCATTAACCCGCCCCATGCTTCCAGGTTGCGGATCTCCACCCAGTCGCCGTAGGCGTCGTAGAGCCGTAGGCCGATGATGGAGTCGGTTCCGGCTTTCCAGATGGATCCGGTCCTTGTGTAGATCGAGTAAACGCAATCGTCATCGTCCTGCAAGTAAGAAAAAAGAGAGATCTAGAGGTTAGAGATGAGGGTCTGGAGGATATTATGGGTGTTATTGAGGGTCACTTACGGAAATAACGACGGACAAAAAGGAGAGAAGGAAGAAGAATGAGAGTACTAGCTGAGTTAGGGTCGCCATTGAGAAGCTTTCACTACAAAAATTGACATAAGGGTTGTCCTATATAAATACATGGGCAGAGCCACATGCATGAACTGACACACTAAATTATTTTGGAAAAAAATTCATTTATAAATTATATATAAATATTAATAATAAATTTAATATTGTTTCTTTTTGAAATTATAATATTACCTTTTAGATTATAACATTATAGTTTATTTTTTATTCCATCATCGTTTAAATAATTTTAATTATACATTTCTATAAATTTAAGAAAGATTATACAAATTTTGCTTTGATTTTTACTATTAACTTGTAAATTTAATTTTTTTATTAAAATATAATTATAATTAGTTATATATTATTTAAAAAAGGGTAAATATTAGAGTTTGACTCGAATTTAAAGTGATACAAATTAATTAATATATAAATTTGGAAAAGAAAGAAACTTAGTTTGATTAAAAATATATAACTTTATTAAAGTAAATTTCTACTTTATTTAGTTTTCCTTTGTAATTAAATATTTATCTTTATAAATAGATACTAATTGTAATGTTAGATATCAAGTTTTTATTTTTCTAAAAATTATCTTGTATTTTCTTCCTTCATATTAGTGAATTTTTTCCTCTGCATGTGATTTTTTCTTTTTGGGTTTTTCAAGTAAATCTTGATATTATTTGTTTTTTTTCCAATCATGTTTATTTGTTTACCAAGAATCGTTTTGATATTATAACAAATTGGTATTAGAGTTTCAGGTTCAAGAAGATTATGACAACATTGAAGTATGATATTCCGTTATTGGATCAAAATACCATGATCTTGTTGTAGCATGCGAAGATTTGGGATGTTTTGTTAGGATTTTATGCTCTATAGATCAACTAAAAATATAGTCAAGATGGGTTGAATTGGCGTTTTGAAAAAATGGAAATTGAGGAGAAAGAATAAGTAAATTATGCACAATGATTTACAGTAGTTCAACTTCCTTAATGAAGTCTACATCCACTGCCTTAGCTCCACACTAAGGATTTCTAACAAATTCACTAATTTGTTCTTTCTTTTTCTAGGCTTAAGAGTAACCTTTACAAAATTTCATATTTTTCAATGGCTAAGATAGAACCACTCCCATTTTACGAAGGATAAAAATGTTTAAACAATAAAACCTCTAAAAGGTAGGTGTTTACCAATTTAGCTCACAAAAACACTTTATGTACAAGAGAAAAAGAAAAATAAGATTGAAATAGTTTTTTTTTTCTTTATGTGGATTGCTTGGATAGATGTTGTAACATTCTTCAAGTGTCCTCAACTTATTTTTATATGTTGGAATGAGTTGTAGCCGTTTCTAGTATTGGGGACTTAATTGCTGCAAAATAAAACTGCCTAACATAGGGAGTATCACTACAACAAAATACGTTTTAGCAGCGTTTTTAAGCCCCGTAAAAAACACTACTGGCACAGAAAAAAAGCCACAAAGAGCGCCGCTAAAACAAACGCCGCAAAAGTTTGCGGCATTTGTGAACGACAAACGCCGTTAAAGATAACATTTTTTGCAGTGTTTATTTTACTAAAGATCGTAACCTTTAGTGGCGTTTGTAAAATAAACGCAACTATTTATCTTTTCTTTAGTGGCGTTTGTTCCCAAAAATGCCTCTAATGTTCTGAAATATAGTGGCGTTTGTTAATGTAAAACACCGCTATTGACTACGTATATAATGACGTTTTCTGTATAAGCGTCGCAAAAAATCTTGAACTTTAGTGGCGTTTTGTTTTACAAACGTCAATATTGACCATGTATTTAGTGGTATTTTATTATATAAACGCCGCTAATTAAAACTAATTTTTCAAATGCTATTTTTTACTATTTTATTACCCAAATTTAAATTTTTAACCTGTAACATTATCCAATAAACTTGAAATTCATAACAATAAATCAAAGTTTACATTAAAGTGAAATATAATGTAGTCCAACATTGTTAACTAGAATAAACAAATCATATCTCTAAAATAGCACCTAAGATGGTGGACTCTAGGGTTGATTTTGTCGTATCATCTGCATCATAGCTTGAAGTTGATTTTGAAAGTCTTCACATTTTTTTCTGATAAGATGCTTCTCTCTTTGCCTCCCTCGCTTCAGTTTCAGCTTTTATTTGAGCAAAATTTTCATCCATTATGCATAATAGCTTGAAGTTGGTATAATCTCTTCAATGTTGTACGTCCTCTAGTCTTGCGTCTTCGACTATTTTCAACTATATAAGAAATAATTCAATGTAATTTTTGAAAATCAACCAGCAATCGAATAAAATGTCGAACATTATCTTCAATTTGTACATCTTCTTCAACAGTAATAGGAACTTCTGAAGATCTGATTCCTCATTATTTGTTTCTTCGTCATCTTGAGAAGCTCGAACAATCCGTAAATCACTTAGTTTTCTCCTGGGCATAATATCTACAATAAACAAACAACAACTTTAGTGAAGATATTACTATTAATGAATGACAACATGTTATAAGTTATAATATTATAAATTAATCAAATAAAATATAAAATCTTACTACATTGTTATGTCATATCAATTTTCATAAATTTCTTTATCCACGTCCTCCCGAACCCATTGAAATTGTGATGTAGTATTAGTGATAGTTTCATCTAAGTTTTGTGCTACAAGAGGTAAAGCTTCTGATCTTGTTTCAATGTCATCTCTACTTCCATCCCCGATGTCTGTCAAGTCTCTGGGGGTATTATAGAGCACAACATACAAACCCTCATCCATTAGATCGTGACAGTAAAAAACCTGTTTGACTTGAGAAGGAAATACATATGGCTCATCCATCAATTGTTGACCAGTGTGAATTAATCGAGAGAAATTCACCATTGTAAAACCAAATTTATCTCTTTTAATGGCTCGAGTAGTATTTACATCAACCCAGTCACACCGAAATAACACAACTTTTTGTTTTCCGTAATAATCCAACTCAATAAGAATTCCATAATATTCTACATCTCCCTCCACAGGATGATATTCCCTAGCACTAGCATAACTTGTAGTCGAAGAAGTAACAACTACTCCACAATTTTGTGTCCTCCTTAATCTCTCACGAGATTTCGTGTGGAGTCTGAACCCATTAATGAGGAAGACATTATATCTTTTAATAATTCTATTCGGACCATGAGAAAGCCATTTAACATATTCACTAACATTACCTTAGTGGAATCTGAATCATACGTCAGACATTTTGTCATTTCATATTCCTCTCAAACATTTTATCTTTTTTATGTTTTCTTTATTAGTTTAATGTTTAATACGGTATTAAGATAAAGCAGAAGAAATTCTCGGATTCTCTCAAATTTTCATTAACTATAGAGCCCTTAACAACATTAGCTTACAACATTAATTATTTCATACTCTAAAAAGAAATAAAAAAAACCATGATTTAACTTTAGTATCCAAGTTTCTCTTACAAATAATAGAAATAAAGACCAAAAAGTGTTAAAAAAACAACCCATAAATTTAAACTAAACTTGAACTATTTGTTGTCATGTTGGGTTTAATGGGGGTATTACGGAGCAATGGAATTCAGAACACTTGAGAGTTTATTTTATATATAAATGAAATGAAATTCAGAACAAAACTTGGTGAAATGGGTTCTCAAATTTATGATTAGTAATCGTGTTTTAGGTTACCTTTTGAAGTTTTTGGTGAAATGGGTTTTCGAATACTATCAAACCAGTGTAGCTCAACAGATTATCAAGGCAGTGTATCTAGATTCTTGAACAAAACTTGTTTGGATCTCTCATCTATGACACAACTTCGAGTGTTGCAAATGAGTAAATCACCTAATTGGATACCATATATCCACTAATCCTACTGAATCTCAAGTATCACAAAATTGAAAATCTTCCTAGGAACAACATAATTTACTCCAAGGATCTAAAGGACTATATGTCCCATTTTACCTAAAATCGCTCGAGCACTTATTAAATATATACATACAATGTCACTAGCATAAGCATGAAATCAAATATATATAATTGTCTGAACATGGAAGGGTACAAACCATGCCATCCTCGAGCTCTTCAACGCCAGCTGAGGAAGAGCCAATCCTGTCTATTTTCATAGCCTTGTAGGCTTGGTTTTTCTCCATTTTCAGAATACCCAGATTTAGAAAAATCAAAATGTTCAATAGTGAGAGGAGGAAACAAACCTTGGAATTGTGTTATAGTGCCGAAGAGGAAAAGAAAGTAACAATCTCTAACTGGTGAGAGGCCTAATCTAGTCACTGGAGAGACAAAATACGACGTCGCTAGTGAAAATGACAAGGTATTAGAAATGACGGGTAAGATGATGGCAAGAAGAATGGCTTGTGGCGGAGAAAATAAGGCTTTTGGCACGATGATGGTGATTGGCACGTTGAGTCGGAGAAGATGTTGTACCAGAGAAGATGTTTTTAGGGAAGAAGAGGTTCAAAAGAGTTTAGGGATCGAGCAAAAGAAAGGGTGGAGATATATTTATCATTTGGTGGCGTTTTGAGAAAAAACCATGGTTATCAAAACCGGACCGGACCGGCCGGTTCAACCGGTTGAACTGTGAACCGGTGGCCTGTCCGATCCGGTTACCTAACAAAACCGGTCTGGCAATGAACCGGCTGAAAATCGGTAGAACCGGCTGAAAATCGATAGAACCGGCTGAAAACCGGTAAAACCAGGGTAAACAGGCTGAAAACCAGCAAAATCGGTTTGAACCACCGGTTCACTTTTTTTTCTTTTTTTAAAAAAATTAAACCAAACGACGTCGTTTGTTTAATGAGCCAAGTCAAATTCGAGTATTGCTGAGCTCGACTCGACTCAAAAACTCACAAGCTAAAAATTATTAAGTTCAACTCGAACTCGAAATATAATATTAAAACTTGAACTCGAAAAGGCTCGAACTCAAAAAAAAATTAGAAGTTCGATTGAAGCCTAAAATTTGAGCTTAATTGAAGCGAAAGAATAGTTCACTCTGTGCTCACCAAAAGTCTCCATGATTTTGAATGTCAAATTACCTCTATTA